CGAGTTGAAAGTTGCGGACAAGTTGCTGCGGACACACACACACACACACACAAACACACAGACAACTCCGTGACAATATGTGTTTTGTACTGCTGTTACACAGCACAAAACGCATAAAAACTCGTGGAGGGATTGCCTGTTTTTTTGGCGCGAACAAATCTGGCACCATCTGCACGACAGCAGGATCAACTATCGTATTCAGACGACGAGCAAAGTCCCACCAGTAGACCATCGAGCACTATTTTTCAACAGGCGGTAATTGCAGCACAGTTCGTACCAAGCCCTCCGGAACAACGGCAAATTTTACAGCCCGCTCCAAAACGGAAGGGAACTGGTAAGTAGCCCTGCAGCACTGATGAAGCGACGCGTGCGATAACGCTCCTCCACAACGGACCAATCCAAGAGTCGACTGCACGCACGCAATCAATCAATTACAACAATTCGGCAATTTACACGTATCAGTAGACACGGCGGCGCTGCAATGAAAAGTAGCGCTGCTCTGACAAACGCGTACCGGGCAGGCCCGTGCGATAGTGCGTTTTTGCAGCATTTCGTGCTGTTGTAAGATCGTTTAAAGCTCCAGTAGCTAGAATTTGTAGCATATTGGTTCTCGTACTTCAGGAAGTCAACTGTGCACTCTATATGCTATTTGGCCAGGGAACATCCCCTCAAAATTTCAGCTTTCAGTCTTTTCTGGTCCTCGAGTTAGCAATTTTCTTACCAAAAATTTTCACGGGCCGTATTTAAGAACGGCATATACCTTGGGGTTGGATATGAAAATTTTAAGTTGTATGTGGGCTGGGAACATCCAATTAAAATCTCGGACTCCCAATTTTCCTGGTTCCGAAATTAGCGATTCCCCCGCCATAAAATTTCGGGGAGCCGTACGTGCGAACTATGCACACCTGGAGGCTGGATTTGAAATTTTTGAGTCCTGTGTGGACGGGAAACATAACCGAAAAATTTGAGTTTTCTAGCTTTTCTTGTTCCCGAGCTAGCAGTTTTCCCGTCAAAACTTTCGCGCGTTCGTACGTGGGTACTCCACTTGCCTGGGAAGCTGATTTTGAAATTTTTAAACTGCATGTGAATAGGGAACATCCCCTTAAAATTTCAGCCTTCCAGCTTTTCTGGTCGCCGAGATAACAATTCTCCTGCCAAATCTTTCACGTGCTCACATGTAAGAACCACGCATAACTGAGGGCTGGATTTGAAATATTTAAGTTGCACTTGGGCAGGGGACATTCCTCCAAAATTTCAGCATCCTAGCTTTCCTGGCTCCAGAATTAGCAATTTTCCCGCCAAAACTTTCATACGCCCTTACTTGAGGACCACGCACGCCAAGGGGCCGAATTTGAAACCTTTAGCTAACACTGCACAGGGAATACCCCTACAGAGTTTCAGCCCCTTAACTTGTCTGGTTCTCGAGATCGCTTTCCCGCCAAAAAATTTGCATATTTTTTAAAGCGTCCGTACGCGGGAATCAGGCGTCCGCGGCGGATGATATTAAAACGGGAGGGTCGCGCATGGTATGGGCGCATACTCCCAAAATTTCAGCCTTCTAGCTTTCCTTGTTCTCGAGTTGAAAGTGGATGACAAAAAGTGCAAACACACAGACACACACACACAAAGACACACACACACGTATACAGACAAACACACACACACACAGCCTTTTCCCAATATGCGTTTTTGCAATTTGCATATATGCAAAACCGCATAAAAATGCATAACAACCCCTCTACGATTAGCTTTCATTTCGATAATAGTCAGATGATGTTGGCATATGAGGAGGATCAAGTCAACCATCAGCTTGTTTCCAAGACAACTATTGTCATCTTTTTCGGTGGACGATTACTGTTAGTACTTGCTACTACTCGGATTACTTCAAAGCGTCCTCATCTCTCATGCAAAATGAATAAGCAGGAAGTTCTCGGCAATTACTAAAACTCGGCTCAGCCGCGCAATATGCACTCATTTGTGAACTGACTTTTAGATAATCGAAGTCTGTAGCATAAACGTGTGCGATTTTCGGTTATTTCTGTAGAGTTCCGGAAGAAGAAAACGGAGCTACAAGTGTTGTCCAAGTTGCATGCTGCTATTACAGTCCAGAATCACACCGAACCAAAACACAGGCATGCCTGCGTGCGAAGATATCAGTGCTTAAAGTAATAAAACATGGGAAAAACAGGAGTGCACTGGGTTCCCTTTACTTCAGAATGATTTCACAGCAGCATATCTTGGCTGTAACGGGTTTTTGGTGGTTGCATGCCAGCCCTCACTCAGCATTAAATTTCTTGTCCTGCATGACAAACCCATAAATTAATTTGGGCTGAGATTTAATTAACTGATGGAAAAATAGGCGGTTCAAGGACGGCTTCCTCGGGAGTGGAAGATTTGGACGATTTCCCTTCCTCCTCATCACCACATCGGAAGCCTCACTACCTCCCCTCTGGCCCCTGCACCGCTATGTCGACGCTCCGCTGTCCCATTGCCCCGCTCCTCCTTCTCCCTCCCCTGGATCTGCCAGTGGATGGAAAACACAGCGATGCTGTTGGCAAGAAAGCCGAAATGCAGTGACCGAAGGATAAACCATATGATCGTTTCGTGTTTCAGTCATTGCAGTCTGACCATCGCATTATGTGTTCCAGAAATGGCTTCATTAACAGAAAGCATCATCCGAAACTACAGCTCACGATGGTCAAACTATCAGCAGTCAATGGAGCCCACTGCCCCATGTCTCCCCCTCCCCCGATCCCCCTCTCTCAGCCTCAATCCCATATTCGTTATTCTGTAGGAAAACGTTTTTTGTATCACATTCATTTCATCGCCTGTGCAGTACTCCTTTACTGCAGTCACCCCCTAAGAAAATTGCATATTTGTATAGGAATTGTTGAGAATATAGGTGCTAATGCACGAAGAAGTACCACTCATCCTATTTGCTTTACGTTTGTCACAGAAAAACAAAG